ACGGAAGCAGAAATAATGTGTTTTGATGATATAATACAGTAATTCTTATTCATGATAAAAATATAGAAAAATTATATACTAAAGCAATTGTTATTTTTAAATACTACTAAATCATGGTTTGATAACAACCTACTTGAATTAAATCTTAATAAAACAAAACGCACTGTTTTTAAAATACAAAATATTGATATTCAAAACAATTTAAAAAATATGTCAACACTCGACGCACTGATTAATGAATAATAACCTATAATTTGTACGTGCTAATGTATTGAAAATGTAAGTTGTATAAAATAAGATTATACATATATTGACTCACGTTTAAAATAGAAAAATCACATAGAATATTTAGTATCATTATGTCGTAATTTTTTATATATTTTTCGTAATCTTAGATCTATACTTGATAAAATACAATTTACAATTGGGAAATATTTATATCTCATTAGTTCAGTCAGTTATTTCTTATGAAATTGAGTTGGAGTTTAACTTATAATATTCATCTAAAAAAACTAGTAACAACTATAAATAAAATAATACAATTTAATTTATATTAAAGTTACCTAATTAAACGTCATGTACTAATACTATAGGTAACCAATGAGTTAAATGTATTTAATTTTGAAAATGTATTTAAAAAAAAATTATTATTACTTACAATATATAAGCATAGGAGTGTAGTACCAATATTTAACCATAATTCTAATACTAGATTTAGAAAGAATGTAAATATAAATATACCTAGATGTTATAAATCTTTTGGTCTTAAAAGCACATTAAATACTGCAATTACTCTTTATAAAGATTTAAAAATAAATATTAATCTCTTCAAAAACTATTATTATTTTAAGTTTAACATATTAAAACTACCTTTAATCTTTATTATATAATTAATATACCTACATAAATATATCATATCTTAAACACATGCTATGTTCTAAGTTGTAAATATAATTATTATTTAACTTTATTTTTTTCTGTTTTTATCTATTTATAATAACGTATACTGTTTCTAATTCTATAGTATAATTGTTATACACTATTTCAAGAACTCATAATCTTCAATACATCAAGCATTAGCTTACATGAGATGAGCAAACTATTATCTATTAATGTATTATATTTGTTTGTTTGCAAATAAATAAATAAATTTAAATACAGTTAACTCACACCTCTAGAACAAAACTACCACAACTCAACATTCATCAATTAAGAGTTATGGGTATTTTCGAATAGTAAAAAAATACCTCTTTAAATTAATACAAGAATGCCACATTAAAATCATTTTTTATTTAGCCACTAAAAATTATGGATCAGTATTTATATTTAGTAACTTTTTTGCTTTAATGAGTATTTCATAACATTTGAAAAAGTCATATGTGTAAGTATGTTTGCAAGTACCTATTTAAGTTTTTAGTTTCAAACGCAAAAGTGAAAAATTAATTAAAATATCTTCATTAAAACTTCAAATACATTTTTCTCAAAACTATAAATTTTGAATTGTGACAGTTTGGTGATAAAGTACTTTAGAAGTTATTGAGAATATATATGGACCTACTATTTTGAGAACCTGGAGGTACGAAGTTTTTCATTTTATTGGATTCGGTTTAAATCAAGGTTTGTAAAAATTATAAAACTACAGTAAATACTTCAAGCATTTTTCTATTATAATATATCTAAATAATGATTATTTTTACATAGAAGAATAAAGTTATACATATCTCGTTAACGCAGTCTTTCTCTTTAAATTTCTATGGTTTGTAATGTTGTTACTTGATAATATATTATCATGATATCAATAAATATAATTATGAAATTATTATATCCACAATATTAACGTATGAAAATTGTAGTATTCATAATATTAAAATTTGAGAAATTATTTGGTTACTTTTTTTATAACCGTAAACTTTCAGTTGGGTAGCTATACCTATAAATAATTGAATATTAAGATMCGTTAGTATGGGCGGTAAGATTGCATGAAGTACCTAATAATAATAGGATATGACCCTACTCAAACCTCTTAGTTTAATAATTAAATAACTTTATTTCATTTTATATTAATATAAGTTGTCAGTTGTAAATAATTTTGTTTTAAATGGTATAAAAGATTTACTATGCACACATAATAAAAGAAAAATTTTACAATAATAAAACATGGTGAAGATGAACTTGGCAAAGACTTCGTTTTAAATGTTTAAATCTAAATAATTTATAATTAAATAATGGCATATATAAACCTATAATTAATAAAATCATTTTAAGTACAAAAATATGTTACAACGATATTATATTAAACGTATTAAGTTTTCCTCTTTACAACTACAGAGCTGCGGTCGAGAGACTATTATTAATTCCTCACGTCAAACACGTTAAATAATTCCCCTTCCCCTCCCTAAAAATCAAACATATTATGTKTTAACACTATTTATTGAGCATGTTATTACTTTATAAAATAAAAATAATAATAAGCAGAATATTTGTGTTTACGCGTACCTAAATATTATGTTAGTTTTTGAAATATAAGCGTAGGAACAGATTTTAAAGCACTGGAATAAAGTAGGAAAGTACATTCTAAAGATTGTTTTACAAGGATTTTCTTTTGAAACATCAAGGGACTGTGAAGGTCATTCGCTCCGATTGTTTAATCGAAATATCTATCCCATGAAAACCCATTCCAGATAGGTAACGAAGTAAAAATTCTATTTTTATTTTGGATTTTTTTTTCTTAACAATAATAATAATATGCGTGGTCAATATTACAGTGCTATGATGCAGAATATATTATGTGCTAATATTTTAACTGTAGAAATACGTTCAGATGACATTTAAGAAACATACAATCGATCAAATAATTATTGTAAACATCTAAGAATACTTTCAGAATAAGTTATTGGAGATATTCAAATACTTCAGAAATGTGATTTATTCTTAATCATATTTTCAGAAATTATAATTATTTAGTGAATATACCGTGGAAGGAAATTTCTTTAGACAGTATTATTATAGGTATATGTTTCATAAATTTAGATTAACAATGATTTAGATTTTAGAATTTTTAATTCTAAAAATATTTAAATCAAATATAGGTACAGGGTGATTCTTTTATCAAACACTCATTATTTAAAAAAGTATTGACTTTTTTCAAAATAGTTTTTTACATAGTTTCAAGTTGTTGAAAAACCAACGCTTTTATTAAAAAATTATATTTTAAAATATTTTTTATCCTTATTATTTTTAAGTTTTTTACTTTTTTGAATAGCAACATAGTTTTTTAATTTCATATTCCAAAGCAGAATATTTTTCTATAAATTTTGATACATAAAAATCGAATTTAGGACGAGTAGTTTATGAGTTATAAGTATTTTAAGTTTAGACAGGCGGAGTAGTGGACAAACATTTTGCGGGGTAACCCCGTACCACTCCACTCTGCCAATCTAAACTTTAATACCTATAACT